GGAAAATATACTTCCCATCTCTTCGAAAAAATCAATACCGCACAGGGCGCATCCATTTGTGCCTATCTACAAGTTTAAAATATGCACGAACTTGACTGTGACAGACTTTATTATCCTCACCCATTTTCGTTGAAAATGTTAAAATTGAGATGTTTTCCCTCTCCAGGCGGATCCGCTTGAGCAATTCTCCAAATATTTACTTGCCGTCTCGGTTTTGTTAGCGAAGACGTGTATATTGCAGCGGAACAGCGGACAAAACGCGTTATGTAATTTTTACACACACAAAAAATTGCGAAACGTTCTAACAATATAATCGGTTACACGATTTTCGTGTTGACAAAAAAATGGCATTTTCGTGTTTCACGCTTTCTCGTAAACCGACAACGGATTTGCTTCTTTCGACGAATATTTCGAGGATTGCAACAGCCGAGACGTTCCCCATTTTTAAAAATTTGATTTTGATCAAAATATACGAGAACGATTCCGATCTCCTCCTCCGGTGCGTAATTTCATTTTCTCTACTCAGACGTGACACAAAAAATTGTGGCCTGACTAAGTCGCGAGAGGAGCGGTCCAAAAACATGACAATGCCCTCCGCTTTCTTTTTCGGTTGAAGTGTCGCTTTTCTGTTTGATTTGCGTCATGAGCATTTCTATATTGCTATTTTCATCCCACGGCAACGTCCAAAGCAATACACCGGTTTCATTAACGAGACGGCATATACATATAATGACGATTGCTTCTTGCGAATATTTTCACTTTCATTGATTAAATGTCCCACTGGCCTAGATTGGACAGACACAATCCGAATACCCCGAAACGAAATTCCTATTTAGAAATGGCTTTGTATAAATATTCGAAATTGGTCCAGAATTATTTATCGTTTAAGGAATATTTGAATGTTATTGGCGATTTAGCAAAACATGTTAAGCTACGTCGTTATTTTCATACGAGTTTCATGTTTGGTATATGATATTGCTTGAAAAATAGTTCGTTTGGTATCGCCCACGATTCAGTGCCTTTATGGATTCATCCGATTCTTCAACATTAAAGAAAAAGCTTACCGGTTTCCGATCCAAACAGAAAGCTCTGTGTGGTGCATGTCACTCAAGTAACAATAAATAACAATTATCCTAACAATGGTTTTTGATGCAAACATTTTAAACTTTAATCTGACCTAACACACTTTACAACTGCAGCAATATATTTGCAACTTACCGACAAACCAGTTTTACAACTGCAAGCAACGCGATTTATGGATACTCGGCCTTTTACAATATCTAATGGAAACTTAATTTTAATGCGAGTGCTTTTAATTTTGCTAGTTGTTTCTGCAGAAGTCGCAATTAAAATAACATATTTTGGTTGGCTTCCCATATTACAATTTAAATACGATAAAATGGGTTTTATCCTATGATATTTTCTTCCATAATTTTCCACAAACCATACACCACACAAAACTAACAACACAGCCACGCACAATGCTTCATCAGCACTTATATAGGTACAAGTTCCTCAAAGGTTCAAAGATAAAATGTAAACAAACGGCCATCTTTGTTTACTGTCAGGGGCGCCACCATCGGATAATAAATTCGCTAATACCTAACCTATTTTTGCACAGAGTGAAATACAATTAGAATTAGAAGTACGTCTTGCATTTTTTTTTTCAACAATGCGTCAGGTGACAAAAAAAATAGTTTAGTTAGTTCAACAATCTATACTTATTTGTTGGAAGCATAGATGCTGAAAACCCTGCGCTCCATCCTTTGAATAGTTGTATTTTATTTTCTTTTTAAGTATTATTTTGATGCTTGACATAATAAAAATATTATTATTATTATAATTTCGAATTGATCATGGTGTTTCACAAATACCGCCACACTAGTCCGATTTGTTTCCAATTTGTTTTAAATATCTCTTAAGCTCGATAGACACAATACAAAATCTACATATATTTCTGCAACTATTTTTATCAGATAAAAATTGAATTAGGAAATTTCTTAGTGGTAGGTACGATGCATTTTTTTCCAGCAAAAAAGTTGTTTTTTAACTTTAGATACTTAATATTGATTTTTAGCTAAATAGTGCAAAAATGATTCTTCTCGCTCTATAAGGAAAATCCATAATCCCAAATAATTCCCCAAGAAATGAGGATGTTTGTTAGAAGTGCCGAATAAAGTGAAATATATCAATTAGGTATATTAATTTTATATTCCTTGAATCTAATTTTTGTGCAATTCTCGCACATTTATTGGCATTGGATTTTTTTTTAATAACAATTAGGACAACAAACTTCATCTTCATATTGGAACAATTTCCCAAGGTCCTGCAGTTCTTGATCACTTTCTTCACTTAGATTGTTCCTGCTCGATATCTAATATCACATAGTTTTTAAAAAGTGGTACTAAATAGTTTTCTTTGTAAAACTACTTACAATAAAAACATATCTACATTTAAAAGACACGGCTTTTGATGTAGGACTAATAATTTAAACATAACTCTTAAGAATAGGCGAAGTAATCTCATCAGTCAGTTTCGCAAAACATAAATGACGTTTATATAACATGCGAAAGGTGGGGTTCTTATTTATAATCGAATAATAATATGTAACGTATATCATATGTTGATATTTATCTGGTTCGATTGCCTCATCTAGCAAGGTGTAGTCTTCTCTTAACTGTTTGCGGTATTTTTCGCTTTCCCACTTTCTCCCAATGCCGCAGGATCCGCACGACCTTCGAATACCTCTACGGGATTCTCAGCGTTGCCCGATTTCGCTAAACTTTAACAAACCATCCCCATTTTTTCAAAATTTATCGTAAACTTAAAGTAGAATGACAGAACTTTGGGAAAGCCGTTTATTCGGCATTTACACAGGATTTAATTTGATTTTGAAATTTTCGAAAATTCAAACGGACATGGTAATAGTAATATATTAAATTATGTCGCACATGCTTGCAAGCAATTTAAAAATCAGCTGATCTATAGGCTATTTCAGAAAAGTGTAAAATGGGAAATTCCGCCCCGTTCCATTCAACTCCTGACCACTTATATCTTTTGCCTGGGAAACACGTTGACCACGAAAATACTCGAGAAGTATAAAGCAGTATTAAAGAAAGCAGAAGAAAATCTTGACCTAAGCCTTGAAAAAAATGGAAGAGACTAGTAATGGTTCACATTGGAGACGAAAAGGGATTTTTTAAAAATGGTTTACTAAACTTAAGTACTAAAATAAGTATTTTTTATTTATTTTATTTACTGCCAATGGGTAAGTGATGTTCATATTATATATAAAATACAAACATTCACTTAAAATTAAATTTAACAGTTTCGTCGGTATCTACATCCAAACTTAACTCCTTTAATGTTCGCGCCATAATTTAAATTGACAGATGGATGACCAGAGATTGTAACGGAAGGCAGAGAACGGAATGGTGGGTGAATGGAGAGATTTTAGAAAGATGGCGTATAAACAACATCGGTCCAAAATGTATCCGTAATTATTTATTGTGCCTTGGGCCATCTCCACACAGAATAGATCAAAATTTCAATGTGTCGCAGCGCAGAATTTGTTGAGATGTAGGATCTAAAGTTGTCGAATTTTTTTCAGATGAAATATAGTATTTTTCCATTTAAAAAATATGCTAGAGAAATAAATCTGGTTACCAAAATATGTATTTATCTTTAATAGTAATATATTTTTTTGCACAGTACTCTACACAAAATTATTAAAAAATATTAAAAATACATAATCGGGATGATCTGTAAATTACTTTTTCACACCTAATAATAATACCCAAATAATTTCACCAGGCCTACGCCACTCTTTTATATGGCAAAAGTGATACGAAAAGGTTTGCATCGTGGTAATTATTGATAATATTCATATCCTTTGTTAGTCAATTGTAGGAGTTTTCCCATCCGAATGAACAGATAAAACTGACACACATTTGATTTCACGTAAGAAATTAATGAAAAGTTAAAAGTTGGGTAACTTTTTAATGTTAATGTTAATGGTTTAGTGGAGTTAAATAAATGTTCACCTGGATTGGTACTTGCGTGAATCCATCATAAAACGCCGCCGCCGCGAAGGACGGAACCAGGCAACCAGCAATGCAAGAAAGTTGTGGATATTCTAATTTTATTTGCGCGTTCCAAAAAGGATTTTAGTTTTATTTTTGATCGATGTTTCATGGTCAAAAATATACTATTTTTGCATGCTATACATTTTTTGGACAGTATATATAGCACGACAAGTCGAAATATAGTACAATAGTTATAATATAGTACCGTTGGCAACCGTAGCAGAAGCTGAGCCACGTTTTGTTTACACTCAAATCCGGCAACCGCGCGTTTGCCATTAAATTAAGCGAGTAGCGATTTTGTTGAACCCATGACAATATACTGTTTACGTAATCCGTGCGAACGCTGTCGTGGCACTATAAGGTGGCCGATTGCGTATCGATTGCGTTCGTTTGTATGTCATTTGTACGTGTGACGCACAATTTCAAGTCCGATAGGGTCGTACGTTGACCCAGATCGATGCATTTTTGATTAATTACGTCAAGCGCGAAATGGGACGAATGTAAATTCCATTATCTAAATATTCCGCGATAGCGGACTCGTGCTATATTCGATAGGCAAAATGAGATGGCGCCCCCGCGAAAAAATAAAAAACAAACAACGTGGAAAAAATTCGGGCGGCTGCGACGTCCTTGGAAGGTCGTTCTTTCGCTCTCGCGCAGCGGCGGCGCGACCGGTGATGTCGCAACGCGTCGTCGCGCGCCGTTTGCGTTTTTAATTTCGTTTTCGGCGCCCGAAAAATTGACGCAATTCGACCCTGACGGCCGGGCGCGTTGTTTTGATGAAATTTTTGGGGCGGGCCGCGGAGACGGGGTCCCCAATTCCAAAAATCGTTCCGTCGACCTTCTTAAGTATTTCGGTCGATTCGGAGACGCATAAACACATTCTTTGCCTGATTGTTGTTATTGTTTTTTCAGCCCGGAGGCAGACCTGAGGCCGACTTCACCCTCGATTTGCCTCGCTCCGAGTTGCTGTCCAAACGGATGAAAGCGGATAAGAAATGGCGATGCAGATGCCGGCTGCTCACCTCTTTTCTGGGTTTCGTGTTTTTTCTACTGTCTGTGATGGCCGTCAGCTTAATTTTGACCAGGGGGCGACGCATGTTCGGCTCGATGGTCTAAACCGTCATTCAGATTGTCTTTGTAGGTGCTCGAGAATGAGATCCGTCAATATACAGGGTAGCCACGTTTTCAATGGGATTGTATGGGTAACCATTAAATATTAATTGTGGTTAAATGGGATAAAAGTGGAAGCTACCAAAATTTAATGAGGGGAGGCGGACCGAGAAATATTTAAAAAAATAATATTGTTCCTATTTTATTGTCATTGCGTTATTAAATTATTGTTAAGTTAATTTTTGTATTTTTCCTAGACGCATATTTTTTTAGCGATCAAAGTAAACTATATTATAAGAGTATGCGAAAATCAATTTGAAAACATAATAAAGTAATTAACAAAGATTAATTGATATACTATAGCAATTTGTGACATAGGCGCTATAAAATATTGCCATAACTCTAAGGAAAAATATAACGTGTGTCGTACATTTGAAAAAGTTGCTATAAGCTCTTATTAAAATACATGTAAAAATAGACATGGTTTTTTCTTAGGAAAATTTTAATTTTATATCAGTGGCCCGCAAACGGAACATCCAGTATAAAAACTTCTGACATTTTGCTTAAGGATCGTTTTTTTTTTAATTAACTTATTCTGAAAAATAAATATAATTCGTATGAAGAGTTTTCGAAAATTTTCTATCTCAATACAAAAAAAACTTATTTGCTCCAGTAACTATTAAATTAGTTCCGTTTCATATGAAGAATTTAAAATACGCTATTTAAAATTTGTTGACACTAGTATTTTTACACCTTGTAGACAAAACAAGTGAATTCCAAAGAAATTCATTTTGAACCCCCTACAACTTCTATATTACTGTTTTATTTGTAGAAAATTGGAGATAAAGGTGCCAGAAACGACATACTAAAAGTCAAAGAATTTGTTTTTTTCTTAATATTTCTTAGTTTATCTCTGATAACTGAATTTTGCGTGTAGTACATAAAAATATAAATACACAACTTTTATCACAACATATATTTAATCAACCCTGTGTCTTTAATGGTTTAAAAATTACCCCCTAAAGTCCTACTGAAAAAGTGGTCACCATATATGCCATTCTCTTGTGATTCGAAGGTTATAAGGCGATTTCTGGCGACGTAAATTGTACATAGTTAGTTAAGATGGCTACCGACACCACAAACTTTCGTGAAATCTAAGGTTTGATTGATAATTAACCGATACAAATAACAGTTATAAAAGGAAAACAAGTGCAAATTAGACTTTTCTATTTTGAATTAGGTATCTTTATTTAAAAAATCACGCTCAAAGTTCTAGTTCAAATTTAAGCTGGTGGAGTAAAGATAATTTGCATTAATTACATTAAAAATGTTAATGGAGAACAACTCAAAATTTTCGATTTTACGACTTTTAGTTATCCTATAGGAGCGGAAACTTTATTTTAACTTGCTTGAACTTGCTGAACCTCGCCAGAAATCAGCCCGTGGTATTATTATTAGATACTATAGTGTTAAGAAATATTTATTATGTGATGTATGTGGTATATATTAAAAAAAAAACGTCAAACAAGCGATTAATGCTATTACTTGCATCCTCCACAACGCAATCCTTTCATGCTGAACTCAGTTACATCTTTCCGAGACCTCTTTTTTTTCTTTGCCGTTTACATTTTCCATTTTAATATTAAGCAAATTAAATAGTATATTATAGTCTATTATGCAACAAGTTTGTCAAACGTGTTGCATACTATATTTTTTCTACGACCGCTAGTTTTTGGGTACATTTTTGGAAACCAACACGAATATATTCACTGACATGACCGTCAGAATTGACAAAATTCAAGCCGTGCGGTAAAATCTCCGAAAATATCCGGTTACTCCCAAACCCGTGAGGTAATATCCCGGAAATTTTTGAGGTGACCCGAACCCGTGGGACAAGAAACTCACATAGTAAAGTGACGCTCCCGCGCGCTAGGTCGGTGAATAATTAAATGATCAAACGAACTTACCTAAAGGAAGTTCGATCATAATTATATTAAGCCTAGTTCGAAAGATTACACATACTAGGACCTCCAGCCGGTGAGGTCACGAATTCAAAGCCTGAAAACAAAAAATATTCCCCGCCCAGTCTTTCCGCCGACCGCTATCAATATCATAATTCATAGCGTTTAAAGCTAATAAAAGTGCTGTTGCGTAAGGGTTCTTTTATGATTACCTTTTAAGGGCGGAATACAATAATTTTGCTAACGAGGCTTCATATAATTATGATCGAACTTCACTTAGACAAGTTCGTTTGATCATTCAATTATATTTCAGCCTTTTTCTTTAAGATTACACATACCGTAGATGTTCAAAACAAAACGCATTTTTATTCGACCTAAAACATTGCCCACAACCAATCAATATTAAAGTTCAACACATAAAAAATTAAACAAAAATCCTTCTTCTAGACTTCTATTCTTTTTCTTTTTCTTCCGAAATGAGTTTGTTATAAAATTTTGCTAAAAACTGACGAGGACTTAGTCCAGCCAGCCGTAGACCGAATGCTATATAATGATATGCCCTTCAAAAAGCTTTTGAAGTGGCCGCATGCCTTACACTGTAGGCTGTAAAATGCGAAGTATCTACCACACTTGAAGCAATTATAAACTTAATTCACCGATTAATAGTCTGTAGCGAAACAAACAAGTTTTTCACATTACTCATTAAAAGCTTGGTAATACTAGGAGGGGTTGAAATTTACCGGGTACCGATGCCTTACTAATATCAGGTATCCTAATTTTGTTCTTATATATATTTTTTTGTATTGTCAGTATTTATAATGGTAAACGTCTGTGCACTCACGAGGTCCAACAAAATTAACACCTCATCAGTCAATTTCTGTAACGCCAAAGACTCAATCGGAAAATGTCTTGAAGAAATTTAAAACAAGTGACACATCTCAAATTCTCTCATATTTGCGCATAAAAGGTCTTTTCCTAAAAATCTATTTAAAAAATTTTGTTACTATCTGAACCTTTGCATATATCAGCTTTATAAGAAATTAAAGAAATCGCTAAACTAATGGTGTTCAAAGTTCGATAAGAAACACCCCCATTAAACGTCTGAGTGAGAAAATTTAACAAGATTCCTTAAGGAATACGCTTCTCTGATACACGTCCTGCTAACAACGTAAGTTTACCTGCTAATGGATGATATACTGTTCCGCAAGGCGAGAGAAGTAAACCTACATCAGGAGAAATCCAGGATATCAACCATTTTGTTCATTTTTTGTTCACTTCACAAAACAACCAATCTGGTTTTCACCAATTTTTTTAACTACTTCCGTGAAAGCCGAATTTGCTAATTGTCATTCTGTATTTATTTATCTGTTTCTTGATTGTTCATCTGCAATCGAATTATACCTGAATGGGATGTATGATGCAAATAAACATATGTTGCGAAGTTCACACTATTACCAATTGACCTGGTTAACCCATTTTAACGAGGAAACTGAACATCCCCCATTCTATTTATATATAATATTGCTGTCCTATTATCTGATCTAATTAAGATTCCGCAGTTTTTGCAGTCTTTTGCAAATGACAGCAACGAACGCTGCCATCAGTTCTAGTTAATTTATATAATACTTTCTTTCTTCGTCCAGCAAGCAATTCGTGAACAGGATAAAAACTCTAACTTAAACTGAAATTTCCTGATTGGGTTAGATGAATTCTGTACATGAAATATCTACCAAAGGAAATCTTCCTTTAAAGTCTTCGATATAACCATATGATGGTCATAATCACCATCACTTAGAATGAGAGCTACAAATTTCTCTCGTTCTAGATGTTTACTATACATCCACCCATAAGCTACGGCCGGACAATTTGAAATTAAATGTTCTATTAACCGCGCAAACTCTCTAATTCTACAACATGGTCCACCTGAAAACCATCTTAAGATAGCCATTAATTTACTTGTTTTTAAAAAGGTACAGATACAGAAGTCTTTCTATAATTTATAAGGAAACCTAAATAAGTAAATATGGACACCGTTGCATGTGTGTTATATAAACAACTTTTATATGATGCCCCAAAATAAAGACTGTCATCTAAATATACAGCTGAAACATACTCTCTTCTCTTAAGTGGTTTGTTACAGATTTTAATGGCAAGCGACAAAGCTGAAAACCAACAAATTATTCAATACTAATGTTATATCCGGATAACATTGGCTAGACCACTGTTGCTCTTTCGAAACAAAACTTTGTTCTGCTTTTCTAGCAAATGTAATCTTATACGTTGAATAACTTGTTATATGACGTCAATTTAAAAAAAAAATCCTTTACTCTTCCCGCTTTCGTTTGTTGAATTCGACCCCTTGCCTTGATGCCCACCTGTTGATAGTTTGGTTGACAAACAGGTGGGATTTTCCAGTTTAACTTGCTGGTAAAGTCTGTTCATAGATATAAGAAAGTGACTAACTGATACGAATTAAGGAAAGACCCGGACAAGCTGTAAGAATGAAGTATGCCCGAACAGGTCCGTACTTTGCTTAGAATTTAATTATTTGGGGTTTTGTTAGGAAATATACTAAGCAATACTTATTTATTTATGTATGTATTTATGTTTTAAATTTAAAATAAAATTCCAAATTATTTTTATTACCTACTTAAATTACATCAAATTATTATTTGTTCTATATTATTTGCAATATGGATGTTCTGCTTTTTCTATATGTTTAACAGAATTTGCCAAACTTTGTGGAGGGATGTTAAAACTTCAGTTTCTATAAGTTTGAGGACATTGGAGTTAACACGGAGAAAAACATTGTTATGTCGAATGGCGGATTTCAGTTGGTGCCAAACATGTTCAATGGGATTAAATATATAGTGGTAAGGTAAAACTGTATGCCCTAAATTTTTTGCATAATTATCACAGACGTATTCCTTTTGTAGGATCAAACCTGCTTTTGTGTCATATGGGGAAGGGGTTTTAGTCAACTGTCTACTGTGAAAACTTGCATTGTCCATTACAATGACGCTATTAGGAAGAATATTTGGAAATAGAAATTTTCAAATAAATCAACCGTGGTGTCTTCATGGTAATCCAAAGAAGAATCTTTAATATTTTTCGCAGACAAAGAAAGTCCATTTGCAATCCAACCATCTTTAGAGCCAGCATGCAAAATAGTTATTCTTTTACCTGTTGATGGCACGTTTGTTTTACACTTTTCAGTTGAGTCAACCCAATCCTTTTCCGGGGTATCATAAGTGTCGAACCAGGTTTCATCCAAGTAAATAATTGCCCTTTGTTGTTCTCTGTAAATCCAATTTTTTTCTAGATATTCCAGTCGCCCTTTCCGAATTCTAAAAGTTTCAATTAAAACTTGCCTTTTGTCAATTTTTTTAAATCTAAAACCCATGTGTTGAACACACTTCCATAAAATAGTTCTGCCACATTTAACACCGGTTTCATCTTTTTCAAGCCTCCTAATTAAGATATCTAATGTAGGCACGCTTTGTTCCTCGTATAACTGGTAAATTTTACGCCGTATTATATCTTGATCGCTTTCATCTACACTCGAGAAAATATCAGCATCGCTTCTTTTTTTCCTCGCTGAAATGGGATTATTCACAATGTTCCATGCAGTTGATGTTGAAATTTTCGTCAATGTGGCCGTTTCTTCTAAAGATGTTTGCTTGCTGGCACCACGTTCAATGAGAGTCAAATAAATATTGTTTATAACTTCCTTAGTCTCAATAGAATAGTGTTTTTATACATTTGAGCGGGAGCATTCCTGAGAGACACTAGACTCGCACATATTTTGCATAATTCGCACACTATTCAACACACGCTGTATTACACACGAAATAAGAATGATTACTGACTTAAACTAAGTAGTATACCAAACCAAAGAATATTAAACACAGGTAGGTATAAAATTATTTTCTAATACGGACCACAATTTTACCTGAATTTAAATTCCGAAACTTTAGTTAATAATCTTGTTCCATTGTATGTTAATGACCACCCTTAGATAATCCCATTCAAAAGCAATTGGTCACTTTCTTATATCTATGAACAGACCATACCAGCAAGTTATGGTTGGTTAAGCGATGGTGGAGTTTTTCGTACCATATTCATTTGTGGAGATTCCAGACAGTCTTTGGAATTTAATGGACAAATACCACTACTGTCAAACCCCTTCTTAGATAAGTCCGCGACTTCATATTCACTAATTTTCATAAAGCGATTTTGCCTTATCTATATAAAGGCGGCTTCGTTGTAGGCATTCTTGAATGGCTTCATTACACACACATCCGAGGGTTGCAGCTTATAGATGCACTAATGGGGCAAGCTTAACATATGGACATGGTTTTTGCGGGCAAAATTAATTACTTAGTAATAGTAAACTCATTCCTCGAAACTGGTAAAGTAAGTTCTAATGAATCGCTTAATGATCTAAGGCAACTAGCTTACTATCTCTGTTGAGCAAGGTTCGGAAGTGGGATATCTGACTTTCAAATCAGTTTCCGTCCGGGAGACAGTACTGCAACAGTGGTGTTAAAGGTGACAGATCGA